CTACTGGTGTAACTCGAAAGTATTTACGAACCAATTCGACTTAGGGTCAAAAAGAAAAGAGCGTACCAATTCTTAAAAGACTTTTTTTTTCTTTTAAACATAGTACCTTATGTTTTGAGTGTGTGATGCCTGGGTGTTGTGTTTTTAATTAGCCCTGGCTTAGGATTATGCTGAGGAGCAGACTATTCCACAGCGCTGGTCGTTCTGGCAGAGACCACAGCAGCTAGTTTGCGCCTCAGTCGCAAAAATAGAAAAATAATGTAATAATAATAATAATTAGTAGAAAAAATAATGTTTCGTTCTTTTTCTCCCTGGTTGTAGTCTCTTTCTCTTCTAAGCACAACCCTCTTCATCTCTATACATATAAAATATAGTGATTCCTATTTCACTATCGCATATGAAGAAGTTTGGTGATATACGTTGTTCATTTTATCTTAGATAAAGATTCGATGCTTCGTAGAGTTTTAGTTTTTTTATATATTCCTAGGAGATTTTCCTCGAGTGTTCATTAACATTCATCGTTATAGCGTCCAGTGCACTCGAATCACGGACTAATTAATGCTCTTAGCTAGAACAAACCACTCAGCTACTTGTGAATATTGAAGCACTCTTATGTAAGCCAGCTTAGATTATCTTTTATATATTTGTTGTGCATATTATAAAGAAACTATTCCGTGTGCTTTATTAGTAATAATTATTAGGTAATTTTTTTATCTTTAATTTCATTGTAAACATAGTACTCACGTTTCGCCCTGTCTTTTTCATAATGGGAAACTTTTTGCAAGCCTTACAAAGACATTCTGAAAGGTTGCTAAGGCTTTAATATATTATCCTTATATAGTAATATATTACATACAAATTAATGTTATATATTCAGGTACATATGGCATCATTATTCTAAGGATATAGGATCAACGATCTGGCTTGTGATCGAGATAATTTCTGCAGGGCCTTAAAAACGCGGTGCTTTTTTATTTAAATTGGTAACTTTCACACAGTTTATTCGAAATACAAAACTTTAAAAAGTGTTTTAATTCTTGACCCATAACTTGTTGATTGAATTGGTGAAAATACAGCCAAGAAAAATCTCACTAAACACTAGTAACACAATGCATTAATTAACCATGAACGACAATTCAAAAATAATATATTTCTAATATGTAGTTTTTAAGGCTGAAATATGAATATATCCTTTATAGAAGTTATATTAAAATACAGTAATCCCCCATATAACACGGTACCCCTATAACGCGATTTCTGTCCCACATATAACGCGGTATTTCCCCCTTATAACGCGGATATTTCTCAAGTTATTCTTCTGTCGTGTGAAATTTGTGAAGTCCATAATTAGTTCTGCGTACCTAAAAACCTGTTTAAATTGTGTTGTTATATTATGTTAATTAAACTAAATAATTTTATTAAATTCGTGTTCCTAGTTTTTAGAATAATTTAAAAAAAATGGTTTAAGAGAATAATCCTACAACGCGATTTCTTCTATCGCTGTTTGGGTCTACCGCGTTATGGATTAGAATAGAACTCGTATCAACCAAAGCCAATATCGATTTATTGTGCAATGATTAGCAATTAATCATGATGGTGATTGAGCTATGTACTTTATAAAGTATCAGACTACAACCACAGACCATTCACAAATTAGATAAATTGTAATAGTATAAGATCCCGCTATACAACGACCTTCACCGAGATGCTTATTTAATGAAACTTATTTTATATTTAATTTAATATGTCAATAAATATAATCCATATGGGTTGCCTAGAAATTTCAGTCACAGAGTATGTTTAATTAATATTTAAAAAAAATTTTGTTTATATATAAGAACTGGCAAGAAACTCTCCGCCAATCTTTAATCGCCATTCGTATCTCAAATCTATTTGTGTTTACTATCTGTATCACATAGATAAATAAATGTTCTATATTTGCGGTCGGTTTTCGTATCATAGACGACGTAAGCGGGGATGTCGCGTCATTTGATCGCGTCTCACGTGGAGTTTCGTAAGGTTTCATTTATTAAGCGCAAAGGTGTAATACCCCGACGACCTTAATAAGGCTGAAAAACACGTTTTGTTTTGATCATTCAGAGTTGCGTTAGCGTAGAGAACTTTCTCCCGGCAGGTTCTGAGTTCGATCGCCGACTCTGCCTCAATTGATTTTTAGATTAGATACGTACGGAAAATATCCTGAAACTAAGATAAGACCCAAGAAACTAAAATTAGACCCTAACATTCGCAACGTGTGATCCAAGGCCAACACTGAAGATTTAACTTTTTTTTGAAGTGAAGCTTGGCGCATGAGGGAAAAAACATCACGAAGATGTGCAGCGTCTTTGTCGAAGAAAAGGTAGAGAGCGCTTGAGACCGAGAGAGAGAGTGAGGTGGCCGAATTACCTTATAGAAATTCTATTTTTAAAATTAAAATTTCGCAAAGACAATTTATGAAATATATATTAGTATTTTATATTTTATGCAAAATAACTTATTAAAATCTCAAATGACGAATTGTAAATTAAAATGCCACGTGTTTTTATTATCGAAGAAATAAATTTAAATAATTAAATTTTTCTATTAGTTTTCGACACTTTTAATATTTTAATGACAATTAAATATCCTAACCTAACCTAACATATCTTCCTTTTTCCCTCCCTCTAAGACTCGGAAATCTTAAGGCTGCTGCCTCGAATTTTGCGGGCAGCGGGGCGGTAGCGGCGGCGGCGCGGGAGGCAGCAGCCTTAGTGTTAGATTTGTATAAATATGAACAAGAGTTAAAAAATTCGTTTGCCAAACGAGTTTCACTTCTGACTTTTTACGCACGTACTTTTTATTAATTATCGCCGTCGTAGACTAGCTGGCGCGTCACGGTAAAATGAGGAAGCGGGTCTCTGTGGTCTGATACTGGAAGTAAGGCTAACTGAGGACAGTCCACTCGAAGCAAGATTATCAGCCAACCAGAGTAGCTTTAATCTCACACACTCCTGAGTTCTCTGACGTCTGACGTCGTCGTAAATATAAAAAACGTTTAAAAAAATAAAGTGTATTAAATGCTAATTAGTTGCTTTAAAAAGTGGTTTAATTCTTGACCCAGAACTTGTTAATTGAATTGGTTAAAATACATCCAAGTAATAAATTACTTTACCATAAACGACAGTTCAGATTAATAAACTTTTCGAATAGTTGTCAAGGCTGATATAAATATGTCCTTTAGAGAAGTTACATATATTTAAATACAGTAATCCTCATATAACGACTTTTTGTATAACGCGATTTCTGTGCCGCATATAACGCGGTATTTCCCCCGTATAACAGGGATATTTCCCAAGTTATATTTCTGTAGTGTGAAATTTGTCAAGGTATTAGGTTCGTGTACCTTTGCACCTGTTTCAATCGTATAAAATATAAAAAACTTTATTAAATTCGTATTTCTAAACGTTAAAATCTATTAAGTAGGTATATTAAATGCTATTGCAACATCGATCACTATAACCTTAACTATCAAGTTTTGAGTTCAGTTAGCATGTTCATATCCGGAGGTGAGAAATCTCGTGTAAGTTAATGAAGTAAGGTTGAGACCTACGTATGTGAATTAATTACTTAGCATTCCCTTCTCAATAACATCCTTCAGAGGCCACTCAATCAAAACGGCCTGCAACTGCGGAATTAAATTAAAATATTTATTTTAACTTGTTCATAGATATATGGGAATAGGTTTTTGTACCAAAGTTAACCAAACTTGACTCCAGATTTTATTGAAACCCAATTTCGATTGTTTATTATTGGACATATATAGTATAATAATAATCAAAATGTATAATTAATAAATATAACATTTTAACAAATTAAAAAATACATACCCACACACGTACATACCCTCTGCCTCCATCACACACACACATACTCACACACACACCCTCAAATACACTCATACAACTTTATTTCTACTAACTTCTAACTAGTTGACTGTTTTGTTTTTCTTTCCTTATTTAAAACTTTAAATTTGTTTACCTACCCATATATGGATGTACTTTTTGTTACCCCTCAATATGACTTTGGTGTGGAATAGAAGCCTGGTTATCCATATCACAGGTTCTTACCTAGTTTGGAAACCAGTCTCCCAATACCTTCTCAACTGTAATCTTATTGTTTGTTGCAAATGTTGTTTGAGAAAATAAATTATTAGTTCGGTAGCGGTTGTTGTATGTTCAGATATATTTTACATGAAACACTTTGTTTGAAGGTAGGTAACGACTACCTTGAATTTCTTAAAACATAAGTTTATAAATAAGATAGCCCTAGGGGTTGTGGGATTGCGATTAATGAAAAACTAACCTGACTTTGAAGAGTTCGTAAATCTAAGTGACATGTTGTTGGATATTATGGGAAACGAGATTGTTAAATTACAATTTATGAGGTAAAAACGAAAGGGCTCATATTGGCTTCAAGTGTGCGGTGATTGTATATTTTGTTTACGCTTCTAATTATTAACATATACATATGTAATTTAACTAATGTGAGGTTACATAAATAAAATAAAATAAATCATTGGCGCTACAACCTTTTTAGGTCTGGGCCTCAGATTTCTGTATCTGTTTCAAATTTTAATTTTTATTGTTTTTGATATGTCTTATTTTATTTTTTCTTTGAGTATTGTTATTTTGTGTGTTTATGTGTGTGTGCTTTCGTATGTAATAAATGTTATGTCTATGTCTATGTTTCATGATCATATGTTTTAAAGGCAAGTAGGTGATCACAGTTCAAGCGAATGTTAAATGCGCATATAGAAAGAAAGTCCATTGGTGCACAGCCGGGGATCGAACCTACGACCTCTGGGATGAGAGTGGCACGATGAAGCCACTTGGCCGATACTGCTCATTGTTAGGTTACATAACTATCGTTAAAAAAATATTACAAATTCTATTAATTTTTGACACGAATTCTAGACAATAGTTACCCAGATGCTTTTTTTCAAGTGCTACTTTTGTCAACAGGCGATAGGCAGCGATCGAAATATTCCCGACTGGGTGCTGAAAAACCGTGCTAACCTCCTCACATCCATGATAAAAGTGTACCACGGTGATCTCCAATCGCTTGCTGTATCCATGGAGGACCAGAAACGCCTAGCTGAGAAGCTATACCAGATCTTCGAGACATACTTACCGGTGCTGCAGTATGGCTGCCATATATTCCAACGAGTGCCAATGTTGAGTCTTCCAAAGGTAATTTATGTGTTAAACCCTATGTTAAGGTTATATGAATCAAATCAAAGCTGACAAACCATTATATATCAAATTTAACAAATATATGCCGTTTAAAAGAGCGTACCGATTCTTTAAAGGACGGCAACGCACTTGCCAGCCGTCTGGTAGTGTCAGTGTCCATGGGCAGTAAAACTTAATACCAGATAAGCATCCTGTTTGCCTCCGGTTCTATTTAGAAAAATCACTGTACTAAGATTAATAGTTTACCCATCCAAATAAGTTTTTAATTTCATTTATTACATACTACACTTTGTTTAGTAGTTGAAAGCATTAAATATAAAATCATATTTCCCAATAGGCAAGTAGGCGATTAGCCTTCTGTGCCTGACACACGCCGATTTTTGGATTTAAGACATGCTAGTTGCTCCATGGTGTTCTTCACTGTAGAATGTTAATTGCGCACATAGAAAAAAATTCAGTTACAGCCGTGATTCGCACGTCCCAAATTAGTGCAAGCCTTACACATTCAGACTATGTTCCTTTCAACATCTATAACATTGTAAATGTGAATGAATAAAATCAACTAGTCTATAAGTAGAACTGCGCTAACAGATGATCTAGCAACTAAAAACAAAACACAGCATACCGGAAAACAAAGAAAATACAACAATAACAATTACAAAAATACTCCCCAATCCGGCTGGTCCCCGTGGGGAAAGCGACCACCACCCCCTCCATTACAGATGAAAAATTAGGACAGGACAATAATAAAATAAGGTTAATGGCGGTTGTTGTATGGATATGTTCAAATAAAACACTTTGTTTGGAGCTGGGTAACAACTGGATTTAATTGTTTAAAACATGAGCTTAACTAACATAAAATCAGGTGTAGTGGGGTTGCGACTCTAGATTAACAAAGAATTAACTTGACTTAGTAAAGAGTTCGTATACCAGCTGCCCACTGAAGTATTCCCGAACCAATTCGACTTAGGGTCCTTTAAGAAAAGAGCGTACCAATTCTTAAAAGGCCGGCAACGCACTCGCGAGCCCTCTGGCATTGAGAGTGTCCATGGGCGGCGGTATCACTTAACATCAGGTGAGCCTCCTGCCCGTTTGCCCCCCGTTCTATAAAAAAAAAATATATATAAGTGACATCAAAATTCATAAGAATCGGCCGAGCCGTTTCGGAGGAGTATGGGAACGAACATTATGACACGAGAATTTTATATATGTATTAGATGTTACTTAACTAATGTTTGGTTACATAACTAGTCACAATAATTAAAATTTTGCACTTTCAACGTAAGATCATCAAACAAGACAGTTCTTTCTGAAGAATGCATTGAGAAAAATCTGACAAAAAAGAAGGAAAATGGAAAAATTTGGGGGAGGCTTTTATCCTAAAAGGGGACATACAATATTAGACCACTAAAATACATCACTTATTACAACTTAAACTCATATTATGAAATGTTAACTAACCAGTTTTTGTATGGATTCATTAAAAGATCTAATAGTGAGAACAGAAAACCAACTATAGAAACAACAATTTTATTTAAGTACCATTCACAATACTTTTATTTCAAAAACATCTCGCTGAATGCATTAAACCCGATGCAATTAAAATTGAACTCACCTACTTCGTATTTTTAAAAAGAATTCTCTTTGAGCAATAGCGGTGGTGATAAAAATAATTTAATTGTTATTGTTCTACAAACTGTTTGTATAATATTGCTTGTAATTTGAAGTGAAAGTCATTGAGCAGTGTTGGCTTAGTGGCTTTAGCGTGCGATTCTAATCCCTCTAGTCGTAGGTTCGATCCCCGGCTGTGCACCTGGACTTTCTATGTGCGCATTTAACATTCGCTTGAACGGTGAAGGAAAACACCGTGAGTTAACGGGTGTTAGACCCAAAAAGTCGACGGCGTGTGTCAGGCACAGGAGGCTGATCACCTACTTGCCTATTAGATTGACAAATGATCATGAATCAGATACAGAAATCTGAGGACTAAAAAGGTTGTAGTGCCACTGATTTATTTATTTAAACCGACAAAAAACACACACACAACCTTCCCCCCGAATAGTTTACTTTAGAAGTTTTTTTGTCTACACAAATACACTTTCACACCACAGCACAGCACAGTCGAATTAGGTATTACGTATTTATAAGTTTTATTGATTATTTTCTTTCGTAAATATTTTAACCATTTTGTATATATATAATATTTATTTATTTATTTTCCTTATTTCCTATTTTTACAGTAACGTAATACTAATACAATATAAAACTATACGAAAAACATAATATAAAAATAACCGGTAAAAACTTAAAACCTTAACATTTTTATAACTATAAATAATGCAATTCTTGTGAATTCAGCCAGTGTGCAACTAAATATATACGCCTCACAAGCAATAGTGTTTAGGATGCGCAATATGTATTAAATATTTAGCTATAGATGTCTATGGTAATGTGTTAGTGGAGGATTACGAAATAAATGAATCATATAATTAATATTCGAAAGATGTATGTGTTGTTCTGGCTTTAACGTTATCAACGAATGAAGTTAATGTTCCTTTGAATGAATAGATCGCTGATTACATGCTTGGATAAATGCTTGCGTTGTATAGCTCTTAATGAGACACCGTAATCATTCCATGTCGACTTGTTATCGTTTATAGATAAGCTGCGAATTGTTTTGTTACGTATAATTCTACATATATTTGTGATTTTTTAAATATATAGTGATTATATCTATTTACTTATATCAGATCTTCGATATGCAAATATATCTGGTATATTTGCATTAAAATAGTAATATTATTTGCTATTGGCGTACCGAAGTTAAATATCTTCATTGCCGTCAATAACCGATTAGTTTCGTATATTTTAATAGGATTTTATTTAATATTGAATTTATTAATCGAACAAATCTGATGTGTTTATAGGCGATGGTTTATATTAACGTATTAATAGCTAATAATAATAGAGCAGTGGTGGCCTAGTGGCAGAGTGCGTCTCTCATCCCGTAGGTTCGATCCCAGCTGTGCACAAATAGACTTTCTGTCTATGTGCGCATTTAACCTTCGCTCGAATGGTGATTACTTCTTGCCTATTAGGTTGACAAATGATCATGAAACAGATACAGAAATCTGAGGCCCAGACCTAAAAAGTTTAGCGTTAGGTAGCGACACTCATTTTTTTATTAATAGCTAATAGTGAAGCTTTTATATTCGATATTTAAACATCTAAGGCTTTCTGATATAGACAAATGCTGGATTTTGGATTGAGTTGTTCAGAACTTAAATATTAATAGGACCAATTAGCTAAGTATCTTAGTTTCAATGAAAAATATTACTTCGAAAGCATTAAAAATGGAGGTATATATTTTGTTCTGTTTTTTTTTAATTTGTGATATATATAAATAATAAAACCTTTATTCATGCAAATAGGTTGTGACAAAATTCATCTATCGCTAGTCCCTGTGTTGTGGGTAACTAGATAACAATTAGTCAGTGGTACATGCTTAAAACAGTTTTTTGCGAAAAAGTAGATTTAGTGTTACTACTAATCAAACACAAGTGTTATACGACATTAAGTATGTGTGAATGTGTGAGTGTGTGAATGGGTGTGTGTGTCTAAACTGTGTCAAGTTAAATAAAACTTTGATAAAGTTTATTTTCACACACATATCTAGATTTTTAATATGAATAAGTCTTAATATATTGCTGTTTAAGCATTGTCCGTGAATTCACACGCTTATCTATTGGTATTCGTCAGAATATATAAATTATTTATGTATATAAAATACAAATATATTTTTATTCTGATATTCGTTTCGTTAAAAGTAGTATAAATATCTTTATATAAAGTTAAAATTATTTGCCAAGAGCCAAGTGTTACTCGTGTAATATTTCAGGTGAAAACGGTCGAAGTTACAACGCCTTTGAGAGATACATTTTAAACTTTCTTCACTAAAATCTTGAATTTCCCAGCGTGAACGTTTAGGTAGACACATAATAAGCAGTTGTCAACAACCAAAATCATTTTTTGTTTTTAAAACCACGTGCAAAATTAATAGCGTATTTAATATTTTCACGGCTATTATAAAGAAATAATTATTCGTATTGTAATAAAACAAACAATAGCTCCTTTTAGGTCTGGATCGTAGATCTTTATATATATAATTCGTCTGTGAGTGTGTATGTCACTGAACTTCTCTCAAACGACTGGACCGATTTTGATGAAATTTTTGTGTGTGTTAAAGGATCTGGGAATCGTTTAGATTCACAAATGCAGCGCGGCAGATGGCACTGCAGTTGGTACTTTCATACTTTGCTTAATATCCTAATCGCTTTAAATATCATGTAGGACAACGTCTGTGGGGTCCACTAGTATCTGTATATATTTCGTGATCATTTGTTTTTACTAATAGGCAAGGCAAGTAGGTGATCAGCCTTCTGTGTCCCACACGCCGTCAACTTTTTTAGGTCTGCGATCGAGTGTTAAATACGCGCATAGACCATAGGTGCACAGCCGGGGTTCGAACGTACGATCTCTGGAATGAGAGGCGCACGTCAAGCCAACACTTCTCTGTTCCATATATCTCCACATATTTATTATATGTTTACGAGTACATTATTAATATATGGGACACTTTTCGTATGTGGTTCGTACTCATTTACTAAAGTCCCCTCATTTTCTTCAGTATATGTTACAATGTATCTATTCTAAAATACATGACAATTACGCCGAACATAAATTTTACAAAAAAATATAAAAATACAAATTTTTGTTTTTACTAGTGATTTAAAAATACGTCTTTTTCGTTTAACAGTGCCTCTTAGGAACCCAATGTTTCCCAACGTGGGACCCCCCCACACAGGGGCAATTCTCTTGTAAAGGGGGCTATTCAAAAAAATTTTGGAATTTAAATTTAACTTTTTCATTACATGTTTTGAAAATTTTCTGACCGTTTTTCATTAAAAATTTCCTAGTAATTTCTTCCTAAAACCTAT